ACGGCACTGATTAGAGATGCGCCACTGATGTCATGGCAGTCTTTCGGAAGAAAGATAAGCAATAGTCACTTTAATTGCACACATCAAATGTAAGACCTGCTCTGATTCCTGAAATGTTCGGACACTGAAAGGCTCAAGCATTTCAAATGCTCCCCACGGCAGGGAGGAAATGGAGTTTCCTCCTGGCCACTCTTGCATGAGATGTAGGGAGCTATTAAATTATCTCCTGCAAGGGCGCTGCCACGTTTCCTGCAGATTTAGGTTTATTTCTATCAATACATCTCATGTTTTGTCAGAAATACACCCCTGAGGCCGGGCGCGGTGGCTGAAGCCTGTAATCCCAGCACTTTGGGAGGCCGAGACGGGCGGATCACAAGGTCAGGAGATCGAGACCATCCTGGCTAACACAGTGAAACCCCGTCTCTACTAAAAAATGCAAAAAAACTAGCCGGGCGAGTTGGCAGGCACCTGTAGTCCCAGCTACTTGGGAGGCTGAGGTAGGAGAATGGCGTAAACCCGGGAGGCGGAGCTTGCAGTGAGCTGAGATTCGGCCACTGCACTCCAGCCTGGGCGACAGAACAAGACTCCGTCTCAAAAAAAAAAAAAAAAAAAAAAAAAAAAAGAAATACACCCCTGAAAAAAACCACCTGGAAATATTGCCCCATTTGCAGCTGCTGCCTACATTTAGAGCCGTGGAGGCATCTCAAGCATTCCCAGCTTTGGGGAGAGCTGATGTGTTTAACTTCTCCAGGCTAGGAAGCAGCATATTCGTTCATCCTTGTCGACCAAAAAGGATTAAGACTGCTCTCAAGCTTCTGAAATCTCCAATGGGGAGACCCCATCCCGCCCCCTGCCTTGTTGTCAAAGAAGTTGCTTTTCAGAAGCAACAGTTGCCAAGTACTCAAAGCAGGGGTGAGTGGGGGATGGAGGATGCAGGGGGAGTGATGCTGGTTTACTGGGAGGAAGACAGGCCTCTCCTAGAATCTCCTGAAGCCCCACTGCAAGTACCTGGCAGGCAATAGCTTTTAGTGGTATCTGCTCTAAGACATGAGGCTTAATAAGCACTAAAAGCAATCGGTCTGGAAAGGATTCCCTGTCTGTGCTTCCTGGACAGGGCAACGGAGAAATGCAGGGCAAAGGCACTCGTGGCTGGCAGCACAGAAGAAAAGCCCCAGGTGGCCATGGGTGAGGGGCCAGGATAGAGGAGAGACACTGCTTGTTCTTTTATAGTTTATTGTTTAGGTACAGAATCAGTCAAATAAATGTTTTTCTAGAAGGCAGCTGTGCTTACCACTATGCCACCGATGTCAACAGTTCCAAAGCCTCCCACAAATAAAGTTAAATTTAGGGAAAACAGATCTCATCAGCTGTTGGTTGAGTTAAAACTTCCGTAAGGCAATTTGGCACTACTTATCAAAATCTTCACTGTACCTACCTGTTGACCAAAACTATTCCACCTCTGGGAATTTATCTTACAGACAGACTCACGTAAGTTTGCAAAGATATAGGGAAAAAGCCAGTCACTGTCATATTGTGTGTAGCAGTGAAAAACACAGATGGCAACCTAAATGTCCAAAAAGAGAGAAATCCTTACATAAATGACAGTGTTTATAAAACAAAGAACTTTGCAGTCAGTAAAAAGAGTGAAGTAAATCCACAAGGGCTGATGGAAAAAGAGGGGTTCCCTAACATACTATGAAGAAAGCACCTTTAGCAGTAACCCAGCTGTGGAAATATATCCGGTCAATTTTTGTTATTCATGTCAGTTATGCGCTATAAAGCCATTGTGAACACTGAATTAGTGAATACTGAATCACTGCTCCTAGGGCAAGGTACAAGGTTAGGTTCCTGCAAGCCTCTGATCACATTTCATCAACTGATCAGCCTATAACTTTGTGTTGTGTATTTGTTTAATACATTAATTCATTAATATTGAACTCATGGCTAACAGCGTTATAACTTCTGCCTGAACAAAGCTTCTCTAACAGAGACTTTTTTCTAAAAGGCATATTACAGCCTTCTTGACCTTGGGAGCTCTAGACAGCACTTCAACCCTGTTCTTGGAGACTTGTTGACATCAAAATCACCAACAAAAAGCACAAAAATATGAAAAATGTCGCACTAAGTCCAAAAACACATTTGTTTACAGCGTAAGAGGTGAAGGAAGAAGGCAGAGTGCTTCTTACTGGATCTCGGCTTGGAATAAGGGTATGGGTCAATCCATGTGGGACACACGGCTCTGCGCGTGTTTGCGAAGCACCACAAAAGCGCTGCCACTGATTCCAGGTTTACAAAAGAATTTTTTTGTTTTTGTTTTTTTTTTTTTGAGACAGAGTCTTGCTCTGTCATCCAGGCTGTGGTGCAGTGGCGTGATCTTGGCTCACTGCAACCTCTGCCTCCCGGGTTCACGCCATTCTCCTCCCTCAGCCTCCCGAGTAGCTGGGATTACAGGCACCCACCACCACACCCGGCTAATTCTTGTTGTATTTTAAGTAGAGATGGGGTTTCCCCATGTTGACCAGGCTGCTCTCAAACTTCTGATCTCAGGTGATCCACTCGCCTCGGCCTCCGAAAGTGCTAGGATTACAGGCGTGAGCCACCACGCCCGGCCTACAAAAGAGTTTTAGCAAGTAGGCAAATTCACAAGAACAGAATCTGTGAATAATGAGAATCAACTGTGTGTTTGTATAACCATGGAGCAATTCCAAAAAAATACACCAGATCAAAATCAGAAGACACAAGAAACTGTTTCCAGGGGTTACCTCTGGAGAGTGGAATGGGAAAAGGATTTTTACTTTATTCTTTGGATCTCACTTTACAAGTGAGTATAATAACCATAATTTAAAAAATCTATAGTAAGGGCCTGGTCCGGTGGCTCATGCTTGTAATCCCAGCACTTTGGGAGGCCGAGGCAGGCAGATTGTTTGAGGTCAGGTGTTCAAGACTAGCCTGGCCAACATGGTGAAACCCCGTCTCTACTAAAAATTAAAAAAATGAGCCGGATGTGGTGGTATGTGCCTGTAATCCCGGCTACTGAATCCCCAGCTGAAGCACGAGAATCACTTGAACCCAGGAGGCAGAGCTTGCGATGAGCCAAGATCACGCCGCTGCACTCCAGCCTGGGTGACAGGGTGAGACCTTGCCTCAAAAAAAAAAAAACAATCTATAGTAAGGAGATGGGCCTTTTCACAGGTAAGCTCAGCACAGCATGACTGACTCACAGAGCTAAGGGACCCTGCTCTGCAGGAGGACCAGAGCCAGAGAGGGGGGCTTTCCCACCCCCCCGAAAGAAAGGCCATGCCCCCACCTCCTGCCAGACACTTCTCTCTCCTCTCTCCTAGGGAGGAGGACAGGGGCCAGCACGAAGGTCGGCACAGGATGTGGCCCCACCTACAGAAACCAGAAGTCAGAACTTTACTGTAAGAGTCAGATCTATCTGCCTCACCTTCCACTGCTTTTCACAGACAACAGGCAGTGGGCCAGGGGCAGGAGGGGCTCAGAGGACAGAGGAAAACCATTCACCAATGAGAAACCTTGTTTTCTCAGGGACAGGCTCAGGCTCAGGGTCTGGAAGTGACAGTGAAAGAAAACAGACGTTTGCAAAGAAAAAGTACGATGGAACTGCAATTAGATGGGGAAGGAAAAGGAAGAATGGAAAAGGAAGGAAGAGAGGGAATCTGGCAGTTTCGTTCACTGAGAAGTGTGTAGGGGTGTAATCTATGATTCATTTTCCCCCCATAAATGAAAATAAGTTTATTTTCCCAATTATGAAAACACATCTAGGTTTGGAAGGATTTGTGCTTTTTGATTTTTTGTTATTTGGGTTTTTTTTTGAGACAGAGTCTTGCCCTGTCGCCTCGGCTGGAGTGTAGTGGTGCAATCTTGGCTCACTGTAACCTCCGCCTCCCAGGTTCAAGCAATTCTTCCACCTCAGCCTCCTGAGTAGGTGGGATTACAGGTGCGTGCTACCGTGCCTGGCTAACTTTTGGAATTTTTAGTAGAGATGGGTTTTCACCATGTTGGCCAGGCTGGTCTCCAACTTCTGATCTCAAGTGATCCGCCCGCCTCGGCCTCCTAAAGTGCTGGGATTACAGGCGTGAGTCACCGTGCCCAGCCGAGGTCTGGAAGGATTCACACAAAACTGTGGGAGTGGGACTGTGAGCAAAGGGGAGAAACTGATTTTTTGCACTAGGTACTTCTGTACCTTTCAGTTTTTTTGTGTTTGTTTGTCCTGAGATAGAGTCTGGCTCTGTTGCCCAGGCTGGAGTGCAGTGTCAAGATCTCAGCTCACTTCAGCCTCCACTTCCTGGGCTCAAGAGTTCCTCCCACCTCAGCCTCCCAAGGAGCTGGGACTACAAGCATGTGCCACCACATCTGGCTAAATTCTTTCAGGTTTTTAAAAGTAAAAATGTATCTCACACTTCCTGTAAAAAATAATAAGGTCTTACAGTTAAAGCCTAGCTACCCTAGCAAAAGGTCACCTCTTGCCCTCCTGGTTTTCTCCCCAACCCTCCCTCACCTCCTCAGGCTGGTCCACGCCCTGGGGCCAAAGACTCAACACTGCAGCCATCTCCAGGCAGCAACCACCAAGCAAAAGCAAAACTCCAAAGTGTTTCAAAAACTCCAACATAAAATTACCACACGACCCGTAATCCAACCCACAGGCATATACCCAAAAGAATCCGAAACCAGTGTTCAAATATAACTGGTACCCGAATGTTCACTGCAGCACTGTTCACAATAGCCAAAAGGTGAACACAACCTAAACATTCATCAACAGATGACTGGATAAACACAATGTGGGATATACAATGGAATATTATTCAGTCATAAAAAGAAATGAAGGCCGGACGCGGTGGCTCACTCCTGTAATCCCAGCACTTTGTGGGGCCAAGGCGGGTGAATCACCCGAGGTCAGGAGTTCGAGACTAACCTGGCCAACACGGTGAAACCCTGTCTCTATTAAGGATACAAAATTAGCTGGGTGTAGTGGCACACACCTATAGTCTCAGCTACTCGGGGCAGTGGGACGGGGAGCGGGGGGGTGCTGAAGCAGGAGAATTGCTTGAACCTGGGAGGTTGCAATGAGCTGAGATCGTGCTATTGCACTCTCGCCTGGGCGATAAGAGCAAAACTCCGTCTCAAAAAAAAAAAAAAAAAAGAAAAAGAAAAAAGAAAAGAAAAAAAGAAGAAGGAAGTACTGATACATGCTGCAAAGTGGATGATCCTTCAAAATTCTGTATGAAGTGAACAATGCTAGACACAAATGGTCACATATTGTATAATCCCCTTTATATAAAATAGCCAGAATAGACGAATCCATACAGACAGAAAGCAGATTAGTGGCTGCCAGAACTGGGCGGTAGGAAGAAAAGGCAAGTGACTGCTTAATGAGTACAAAGGTTCCTTTTAAGGTGATAAAAATGTTCTGGAAGTAGATAGAGCGTGAAGGTGCTAAACACCATTCAACTGTACACTTTAAAATGGTTAAAATCCTGAATTTTATGTTGTGGCATGAATTTTCTCTCTCTCTCTCTCTTTTTTTCTTTTCTGAGACAAGGTCTTGTTCTGTCACCCAGGTGGGAGGGCAGTGGCATGATCTCAGCTCACTGAAACCTCTGCTTCCCGGGCTCAAGCAATTCTCCAGCCTCAGCCTCCCATGTAGCTTGGACTACAGGCACGAGCCACCAACACCCAGCTAATTTTTGTGAGTTTTTTTTGTTTTTTTTTTTAGTAGAGACAGTGTTTCTCCATGTTGGCCAGGCTGGTCTCGGACTGCTGGCCTCAAGGGATCTGCCTGCCTCAGCCTCCCAAAGTGCTGGGATTACAGGTATGAGCTACTGCGCCTGGTTGTATTTTTCTTAATTAAAAACAAACAAACAAAAAAACACACAAAAAAACCACACACACAACCCCACACTACAAGTTGGGCAAGTTTTGTGGCCTCTCTGAACCTATAAAAGGGGCGGGTGACAGTACGACCCCATAGACTGGTCATAAGGATCCATGTGATGTGTGTAAAGTGCCTGGCATGGGGTCCAGCATGTAGAAAGAGAACAGTAAGGAAGGAAGCCACAGCCGCTGTGATGCCAGTGATTCGGGGGCACTGCCAAAGCCAACTCACCTGAAGTCATGGGATTCCCATGTTGTCAAATTATCCTTTTAATTAAAAAACAGGAACAACAAAAAGACTTTGTAGGAGGGGTGCTGCATAAGATGAAAGATTAAAGAAGAGGGAGGCTCAACTTCATTTACAGTATGGTGATCTCTATACTATATTTATAGTACAGTTCTATCCTGTGTTAACACAGGAGACGCAAACAATGCACTCTAAGGGATAGAGGGCATCTGCCACGCGTCCACCGTGAAATGACGAAATGCTCTCGCTTCTTCTGCCTTCTCCTGTGGCCTGCAGACATGGGCCCCTGGCTAAGCCCTGTTCGATGGGGCAGAAGGGCTTGTAGGTAGGTGAGAAGATCCCATCTCTGCTTCCTTTTTTTTTTTTTTTTTTTTTTTTTTTTTTTTTTTGAGATGGAGTTTTGCTCTTATTGCCCAGCCTGGAGTGCAGTGGCGCCATCTTGGCTCACTGCAACCTCCCCCTCCCAAGTTCAAGCGATTCTCCTGCCTCAGCCTCCTGAGTAGCTGGGATTATAGGTGCCCATCATGCCTGGCTAACTGCTTTTTTTTTTTTTCTGAGATGGAGTTTCATTCTTGTTGCCCAAGCTGGAATGCAATGGCGCGATCTCGACTCACTGCAACCTCCGCCTCCCTGGTTCAAGTGATTCTCTTGCCTCAGCTTCCTGAGTAGCTGGGATTACAGGCATGCGCCATCATGCCCAGCTAATGTTGTATTTTTAGTAGAGACGGGGTTTCTCCATGTTGGTCAGGCTGGTTTCAAACTTCTGACCTCAGGTGATCCACCCAGCCTGGCTAATTTTTTTTGTATTTTTAGGAGAGACAAAGTTTCATCATGGTGGCTGGGCTGATCTCGAACTCATGACCTCAGGTGATCCACCTGCCTCTGCCTCCCAAGGTGTTGGGATTATAGGTGTGAGCCACCACGCCCGGCCTTCCTATCTATCTGGAAGCAGATTTAAAAACCTGAGATTGACAGGTTGGGGGGCAAGAACCCCAGCTCTTCTTATCTCAGAATTTTTGTACCAAATTAGCAGATCTCCAGACTTCGTGAGGCAAGGTGACGCCCCTCGTGGCCCACAATGGCCCGGGGAGAGGGGAGGAGGGAAGAATAGGATTTCAGGCTGTCATGGAAACTTTTCTTCCCTCTGGTCTCTGCAGCATACGGCAGGTGTCCTGAAAAATCGTTCCTGCTGCCCGAGGCTGTGCTGCCCTCAGACATGTGGGTGGGGGCGTCTGCCTCTCCGTCTGAAATACCCCCTCCCTCCGCCAAGGCGGCAGCAGCACAAAGGAGTCTCCAGTGTGTGCCTCACATCCCAGCTCCCCAGACAGATGCTTGGGGAGAGCTTCCATGGCCCCATGGAAATATACGTCCCCTGCCCCCAGCAGGCCTCGATGCAGCCCATAGATCACAGACAGCAGCAGGCCAAAGGCTGTGGCGTGAATTTCTCCTGTGCTGCTTGAAATATGACGCCCGGTGTGCCCTCCACTGCCGGAGGTGTTTCACAAGCCCCACAGATGAAAGGGAGCTGCACGTTGATTTGGGGCGCTGAGACAGGCTGGACACCCAGCAAGACTGGCTCCCATGTGTAACAAGGGAGTCCAGTCGGCCCAAGGTAGAGAAAAATCACCAAATGTGAGGCTGTGAGCCTAAAGCAGCCAATGTGATCATGAACAACAGCAGGTAAAAGATGCCAGCGTGGAGAACGAGACAGAATTCTGAAAACTCTAAATCTGTGCTTCTGGAACTGGGTGATCGTGCCCACGGGGTTTATGGCAGCCTGCCAAAAAGCAGACAAAGCCACAGAAGAAAGTGGGTGCCACAGTCCTGCAGCACCAAGCAGGATGAAGGATGGCGGGGCAGGGAGGGGAAATGAATAATGAAATAGGACAGAAACATATCTCAGAGGAGAATGTAAAATCTGACTGTCAAGGATAAAATACCAGATGTCAAAGAAATGTCCTAATTGTACCTGGCCACTTTGAGCCTGAGGCCTCTGGGGCATTCCATTCCTCTGCATTAGAGCAACCTAGACAAGTGGAGAGGCCTGGCTCTTAAGGGACCATTAGCACCATTAGTCTTATTGACTCCACAAATTATTTTTGAGGTCTTACTATGTGCCAAGCTCCTTTCCATCCCTGAAACCTGCTATCCATGGGGGTAGGGGGGTAGCTGTTAATTTAAAGTACATGACGCTGAGGGTCTGCATACTTGGGAGGCCTCACCCGCTGACGGCAGTAGGGGAAGGTTTTCACAGGGATATAGAGCCTGAGTGATGTTTAACCAGAATCAGGTGGGCAGCTGGAAGGCAGGAGCAGCAATCCAGGCAGAGGGAACAGCATGTGCAAAGCTCTATGACAAGAAAGGACTTGGCCAGTGTGGCTGGTCCCAGGAAGTGATGAGGAGAAAGGCACAGGTCAAAGAGGCAGGGACTCAAGGGTTGGTCTTTATCCTGACTGCCAGTAAACCATGAGCTGATGTTAAGTGGCAGGGTGGCATGGCAGAACTGTGTTTTAAGGAGATCATCCAAGTAGCAGCGAATTAACACAGTAATCCCTACCAAGGCAGACAGACAGATGGTCAAAGCTATGCTGTGTTTTTAGTGAGGCCTGTTTGGAAGGTGCAAACCCCAAGAGGGCTGTGCCCAGGCCTGGTGACCACACAATGGGTCCTGCTTAGGTCCAAATCAAGCAGCCACATTTCAAAACACCTCTAAGAACAGTGGTTGCTAGGGTTCCCCTCCTAGCACGTTTAGATCCCCCATACCAGGAAGCAGGAGACAGGAGGCTGAGGGCACAGGTTCTGGCACCATGCAGTTCTGGGCTCAAATCTTATCTGCCATATACTACCCAGGCAGCCCCAAACCGGCTTCTTCACCTCTCTGTGCTTCTGTAAAGTGGGGTACACTAACAGTATCTGTCTCCTAGGGCTACTGTGTGGATTAATTGAGACAAGCTGCTAACATCCTTATCACTTGGTCTGGTACATTATAGATGCTAAAAAATGTTGCATCTAAAAATGTTGATGCTAAAAAACGCTCAGTGAAGGATGAACATATAAGACGTGCAAAGATCGTCAAAATGTAAAGTGATCTGGAAGCAGCCAGGCGCACTGAGGGGGAGGAGACCGCACAAGCGCGGTAAGCGTAGGTTTTCGCTTACTTGCAAGCAGGAGGCAGGAGACAGCCACGGTGTAGAGCTGCTTGGAGGTGCTGACATTGTAGCGATCCATGAAGTGGTCCAGCAGGTAGACGGCCAGGTGCCGGGCTGCAGGGCAGAGCTGGCAGTGGCTGCTCAGCAGGGTCAGGATGTCCACGAAGAACCGGCGGCTCTTCAGGAGTGGGGAGTGGGCTCGGAAGATGGGCAGCTTCAGTTCCTGGAGGACAGGCGGGGCGGAGGGATGACGGTCAGGGCTGCCTCCCGAGAGTCTCAGGAAATGGGACCTTAGGGCCTGCCTGCTGACTGAATGCGAGGCAACGACTCCCTCCATACTGTTATTAAAGTTTTCCTGCAAGTCCCAGGATGGCAGCCCCTCCTGGGCTACCTCCCATCTGCTTTCACTAAGCACAGGCTCATAAAGTATCAGGGCCCTAGAGGATGACAGAGGAAGCCAGTCATTCCTTCCCAGGGGAAAGCTTTGCTATTTGAGATACACAAGGTCATAAAGGAATAAAGGCCTTGGGGTCTGAGGTCTAAGTCCAAATTCCTTTTTTCCCCCAGGGTCTGGTCTGAATTATCACATCCAAATTCTGATTCCACTACTCAGCCAAGTTGTGTGACCCTGGTCACCTGCCATCACCTTTGTTTCCCCCTCAAGAGCTGAGAGCTAAATTTAAAATGTATGCAAAATGCCTAGCACACCTGTGACCTCTCAGGATCCGCATCTAATTCTTTCTGAGGGTAGGATTACGAGGGATGGGTTTTTGAAAAAAATCGACCTAAAAAAGTTGTTGAAATAATGGTACAAGGAACTCCCAAATACCCTTCACCTCAATTCCCTAATTTTTCACATTTGCCTTCTTTCTCTCTACATGCATATACATGTTTTTTCTAAAAGTAAGTTCAGATATCATGATACTTCCCACACCCCCAGGAGGTGACTAGATGACTTTTACTTCTACTTTGCAATTTACATACTGCCACATTACCTCATTTTATTTGTCTAACTCAAGAAAAACCAATAAACGGTATCAACCCAACAAAGATTTTTATAACATAAAAATGTTCTTATATGCAGTATCTCTCATATTTACCATTTAATTAAAGTAGATTAGACACTGTTTTTTGTGTTTTTTTTCTTGTTTTGTTAGAGAGGAGTCTCCCCCTGTTACCCAGGCTGGAGTACAGTGGTACAATCACAACTCACAGAAGCCTTGAACTTCTGGACTCAAGCAGTCCTCCCACCGTGGCCTCCCAAGTAGCTAGGACTACAGGCATGCACCACTGCACCCAGCTCATTGTTTCTGTATTTTTTGTAGAGACAGGGGTCTCATTGTGTCGCCTGTGATGGTCTCAAACTCCTGGCCTCAAGTGATCCCTCCCACCTTGGCCTCCTAAAGCGCTGGGATTATAGGCCTGAGCCATCACGCCCAGCCTAGACACTACTTGTTTAGGAAATGTCTTTGCAACATTTTGCCAAAGAAGGAAACTAAAAAGAAGTCACATAGAAGGAAAACAGGAAATAAGTTGGCAGAAAAGGAATGTGAAAGCTCACTTGTGGCAGGCTCACAAGGGGATGAGATTGAAACAAATTGGTGCTTCTCCTCTACAGAATACCTCTCTCTTAACCCTGTGGCTTACTCAACTAGCAGCAGATCCAGGACTAGAAAGGGATATCTGCTCAATCATTCATTCCTTCAAGAGCTATTCATTCATTCATTTCACTCAGTAAGTATCAAGTACGTTCTCTACACTGGACGTTATCTAGGCACTGGGGATACAATCTGGAATAAGATAGATACAGACCTAAATGTAAGACTTACAACGATAAAACTCTCAGAAGAAAACAGGAGGAAATCTTTATGGCCTTAAATTAGGCAATGGTTTCTTAGATATGACACTAAAACAAGATGCAATCAAGGGAAAAATACAGAAGCTGAATTTCAAAACTTAAAGTGTTTGTGCTTCCAGAGACATCATCCAGAAAGTAGAAAGACAACCTGCAAAATGGAGGAAAATATTTGAAAATCACTTGTTAATAAAAGACTGTATCCAGAACATATAAAGAACTCTTAGAGTTCAACAATAAAAAGGCAAAACAACCCAATTTAAAAATGGGCAATGAACTGACCAAACTGACCAGGCAGTTCTCCAAAGAAAGTATAAATATGACCAACAAACACATGAAAAGGTGCCCAACATTACTAATCATTAGGGAAATGCAAATTAAAACCTCGGTAAGATACTACCTCATACTCATTAGAATGGTTGTTGTAAAAAAAAATCAATACAAAACTGAAATGTATATACAAGTGCTGGATAGGGGCAAATTGGAACCCTCATATACTGCTGGTGGGTAAGCAAAATGGTGCAGCCACTGTGGGAAACAATCTGGAAACTCCTTAAAATGTTAAACGTAGGGTTCTCACATGACCCAGCCATTCCAGTCCTTGGTATATTATACCTAAGAGAAATGAAAACATACAGCCACACAAAGACTTGTATATGAATACTCACAGCAGCATCATTCCCAACAGTTCCCAAGTAGAAACAACGCAAACGCTTATCAACTGAAGAATGGATAAACGAAATGTAATGTATCCATACAATAGAATATTACACATGTTACAACAGGGATGAATCTTGAAAACATTATGTTAAGTGAAAAAAGCCAATGGTAAAAGGCCACATATTATATAATTCCGTTTATATGAAATGTCCAGAATAGGCAAATCCATACAAACAGAAAGTAGATTAGTGGTTGCCAGAGGTTAGGGGTAACAGTTAATGGGAAATAACTGCTAATGGGTATATGGGGTTTCTTTTTGGAGTTATAAAGCTCTTCTGTCATTAGACAGTGGTGATGGTTGTACAGCTCTGTGAATACACAAACAACTAAACTGCACATTTTATTTTTTTTTATTTTTAATGTTGTGGGTACACAGTAGGTGTATAGATTTGTGGGGTAGAGGAGACGTTTTGATACAGGCATGCAATGTGAAGTAATCACATCATGGAGAATGGGGTATCCATCCCCGCAAGCATTTATCCTTTGTGTTACAAACAATCTAATCACACTCTTTTAGTTATTTTGAAATGTACAATTAAGATATTATTGACTATAGTCACCCCGTTGTGCAATAAAATAGTATGTCTTATTTCTTCTATTTTTTTTTGTACACATTAACCATCCCCACCTCCCCCACAACCCCCACTACCATTCCTAGCCTGTGGTAACCATCCTTCTATTCTTTATGTCCATGAGTTCAATTGTTTTGATTTTTAGATTCCACAAATAAGTGAGAACATGTGAAGTTCGTCTTTCTGCGCCTAGTTATTTCACTTAATATAATGATCTCCAGTTCCATCCATGTTGCAAATGACAGGATCTCACTCTTTTTTTATGGTTGAATAGTACTCCACTGTGTGTATGTACCACATTTTCTTTATCCATTTATCTGTTGATGGACATTTAGGTTGCTTAATTGCACGTTAAAAAAACTAAATTTTGGCTAGGTGTAGTGGCTCACACCTATAATCCCAGCACTTTGGGAGGCTGAGGCGGGTGGATCGCTTGAGTTCAGGAGTTTGAGACTAGCCTGGGCAACACGGCAAAACCCCATTTCTACAAAAAATAAAAAAATTAGCCTGTGTGGTGGTGCGTGCCTGTAGTCCCAGCTACTTGGGAGGCTGAGGTGTGAGGACCATTTGAGCATAGGAAGAGGAGGTTGCAGTGACCTGAGATTATGTCACTGCACTCCAGCCTGGACGAAGGAGCCAGACCCTGTCTCAAAAAAAAAAAAAGAAAAAAAAAAGTGAATTTTATGATACGTGAATTATTATATCTCAATAAAGCTGCTATAAAAATAACAAGCCAGATGTATCACCCACAGTCATGGAGTCCATGGTCCAACAAGGGAGAGAGGTGGCAATCCAGCAACAAGACAGTTGCAGAATTCCAAACTGTGATGAACTAATACTGCAAAGGAAAGCCTCAGATGCTCTGGGAGGCCCCATCATCTCTGGGCGGGAGGGAGGCCTGTGTCCTGAAAGTGAGGCTGGGTTTAGATTTCACACTGATTACTTCTCCTCTGGCCTGATCCTCCAGAGAGCTCAGAGGCCAGGACTCAGCTATTTTCGCAGCCCTAGAGCTTTGCTCATGGAAGGCTCTCAAAGCCTGAATAAATTATTTCTTCTCCCTTATGTTTAATGAAGAAACTGAGTTTCAAAAAGTCCCTGAGTCCCTGGGCTTTATCTAACTAGCAACAGATCTGAATTAGAAGACTTTCAAAGTATCCCTTTTTTCAACTTTTTTTTTTTAATTGCTTGGGTTTAACAGATAATTTTTTTTTTTTTTTTTTGTTAAGTCATGGAGCTTGGCTGGGTGCTGTGGCTCACACCTGTAATCCCAGCACTTTGGGAGGCTGAAGCAGTTGGATCACCCGAGGTCAGGAGTTCAAGACCAGCCTGGGCAACATGGTGAAACTCCCGTCTCTACTAAAAATATAAAAATTAGCTGGGTGTGGTGGCATGTGTCTGTAATCCCAGCTACCCAAAAGGCTGAGGGAAGAGAATCACTTGAACCTGGTAGGGTGGAGGTTGCAGTGAGCTGAGATCATGCCACTGCACTCCAGCTTGGGTGACAGAGCAAGACTCCGTCTCTAAATAAATAAATAAATAAATAAATAAATAAATAAGTCATGGGGAGCTCTTTTAGCCCCAGCTTAATTTCTTTAAGGAAAAGACCTGATGCGTTTGTGTATTCTTCATCTTCAAGGTTTGATGAATTTATGCGGCCACTATAGAGTTCAAACTCCTTGAGGGCAGGTCTGGGTCTCCTTTGCACATCACTGTTACTTCAGCACCCCAGTGTGATGAGAGCAGGGTTAAGTGCCTAATAACTAGTTGTTGAAGGAAAGAAGGGGTAGGGAGGGAGAGGCAGTAAAGAAAGCAAGGAAAGAATTGCAGTGGTAGATACAGAAGGTCCTGGCCTACAGAGGCAAGTCGTGACCAGCTCTATAGAGTAGCAAGTCTGTGGGAACTTCAAAGAAGACACATTGAGCCAAGTTGTACAATTTACCTGTTGAAGATGCAGGAAAGGTAAGCATCTCACTAGCAGAAACAGCACCTGCAAAGCCACACAAGTATCCCATCTGGGGAACAGTCAGCCAGGCAGGGTGTGCCTGGACACAGGCTGGAAACGTGGGCAGTGGCCCA